TATTATTTTCCTTTTTCATTTACTTTCAATGGCATACTTTTTTGTGTAAATACTTAGGCTTGATCTAGGTAAGAACTTTTGTTTTGGTGGGACAGGAATTATCCCTGTGCTTTCTCTTACTGCAAATGATTCCATTTCTGTACACGCGATAAGATAAATACAGGGGTGATGTTTATATCTATCTTAGAATAGAATAGAAAACGAGGAGAGTTCTGCAAGGTTCTAATCCCCACCAGCACCAAGGATATGTAAAGTACTAAGCCATTAACTCCTTCTCTTATGAAAATAGCTCTGGGAAAAGGTAAAGCACACTCAGTTATTTCCTTTTGTGAAGTTTTCCTTAAATGGTTTCTGGGGCAGAATGTCTCTGTGTAGGAAATTACGACCATTTGTTGAAAGTCTGGGGAGCTTATGATACAAATCTGAATCCTGTTTCCACCCAAGGTTTTAAAGTTACATGCATCCATAACACTTCCTTTGACTGTGGCTGTCTGCTCCTCAAAGACCTTTTTCATTGTGGAGATGATAAGAGACCACTAGCATTGTCAGGTTTTTCACTAGAGGCCATGAGAAATCATTTAGGACTCTTTTATGGCCCATCATCTAGAGGCTATTCCCTCCACAAGTTGCATGGGAGTAGGTGAGCAGAGGGAGAAAAGAAGGGCAGAAGTGGATCCTTTCCATGGAAAGGGCTAAGTGGCTCACTCTGTATTGCAGGATGACTGCAAAAATGTGATGTGTCTCGCAACAGACATAACGAGTATTTCCACTTTTCATGGCACCAAACAAACCCTAGTGGCAAACTCTCTTCAGAACTGTGTATGAGTCTGGTCACCCCATTAGGAAAGATGGGTTAAAATAGAAATAGCTGCTGAGAAGGATGGTGGTAAAAAGGAGAGCCTGTTTCATGAGAGGAGCCTAAAAGAGCTTGGCATGAATAGCCTCGGAAAGCTTTCTTACTGCCAGAGAACTGGGCTTCTGGAACAGCCTTGGCATTGGAGCAGTGCACACAAAAGCCTAACTGATTTTAAAATGGACCTTGACAGTTTTTAAAGGAATTAGATGATATGGTATCTGTGGTTAATGGGTCTGGACCCAGTGATCCAAGAGATCCATTCTAATTCTGTGTTCCTCTGTAGAATGAGATGAATTTAAGGAGAGTATTCCCTCTCAACTGGAAATCAAAAAGAACACAACTAGATTCATCATCTTGATCAGCCTTTGGCTACAATCTAAGAATTGGTTATTGTAAGGCCAGTCCACATTAAGACAGCTTATTCCTTGTGTTGTAAGATTAAGTACAGTCCCATGGTGGTCAAAGAGTAGAAATTGCTGCAATAGAGGGAAACTCTGAATATGATCGCTCTGACAGTTTGGCCTACTGTAGGAGCATAAATAACAGCTGTCCCACTGAGAACATCTCAGAAGGAGGAGAAGCTGCTTACCCCATGTTTACTGGCTTTTCAGATATCTAAATGAATGCTAAGTGACTGACAGCCTGGCCCTGAGTTAAGGTCAGAATACGTTTTAAGGCATTTTCAAGAACATTTCTACTGTTCATGGAATTGTGGAAGAGTTACCACCAACTCTCTATGAACCAGGTGCAACAGAGCTAACAGATAAGACTGTGAAACCAAATTTGCCTCAAACTGTTCCCTGCATGACAGAATATTCCGCACAGAATTTCCGTAATTCTGCTTTCCCACAATGCCTGGGAATGTAACAGGAAATGGGAAATAGGTCTAATCTTTGTTTTTTCTTCATCAGTTTTACTTTAACAAAATTCTTCCCCACCAAAAATTTAAGTCTTCTTCTGCTGGTCTCACTTTCTTCTCTGCAGGCTTTAAACAAAGTGATGTGACATTACAATTGACTTAGTTTGCAGAGAAATTGCTGTGCTGGCTAAAAAGTTGGCACCACACCTTCTATTCAGAAAGCTGCACGTTGGTGGTGCAGCTCTTCAGATAACCTCTAGCTACAGTTGAGTAATACCACAAATGGGGAAAACCCTAGAGAAACAGGAAAATCCCTAACTGTTTGTGCATTGTGTAAGTATATTTTACTTAGGCTCTTTGCCAAAGCAGATACGAATCTAAGATGCTCTCTGTATCAGAGTAAAATGCACTATCGTGTTCAAGAACTTATTTCTTCATAAAAGGCAACCAAAGCATTTGTGAAAGGGGAAGAAAATTTCCATTCTGGTTTCTATCGCATTCATCACAGAAAATTCCTGAAAACAAAAGATATAGAAAGTGGGAGAGGAACTTGGTTAATTTATTTGAGTTCTTCTTTGAGACAAATGGTCTCTTTTGACTGTTTTGCAAAATGATTATAAAAGGAAATAAAAAGTCCTTACTGTTGTACAATAAAAACAAATCACTTATTAAAAAAAGGAATTGGGCTGTGACCAAATGCTTGCTGTTACTGGCAAGTGTTTTTGCAAATGCTTGTTTATTTACATAAACTTTCCCAGCTCCTCCCCACCTGGAAGGAACCTAAATGCCCAACGACCACAAAACATCCCTCTGCCAGAAGAAAAAAACCTGCTGAATATGTTTCCTTTTCCCACAAAGAAGATGAGAAAATAAACACAAAGCATTACTGGAAAGTGCTCAGATAGTAGGATTCCTCTGAACAATAGTGCAATATAAGAATTGGTTTGGATAGACTAAAAGATGTAGGAGCATTTCTGCATTGTTCTGTAGCCCCACTAAAGTTGGTAGTTTGTTTTCAAGGTGTAGGGAGCTGCCTCCTGTTTCTCATTTCAGGTTTGAAACTAAAAATAATTTATTTACATATGATTTGCATTTTTCAGGTGCCATAACTAGGGAATCTGAAGCATTGATATTTTGCAAATGAAAAGCTAGATTCTCTGAGTTTTATCAGTTTTCTGTTGTTAATTTCAATGGAATCTTGATTTTTTTCTAATTTTTTTTGCACCATGATTATAAGCAGAAAGAAGGGTTAGACAGAGAGAAGCTGATAGCTAATTAGTTTAAAGATGATGTTCTGAAAAATTTTGACTGGCAGTAGGGAACTCTGTAAAGCCACCTGACCAAAATATTTTCCATAGTCTGCTATAAAATGGGAAGGTAGAAATAGGTAATTTGCTAAATTATCAGCCTCATGAGGGATTAATTCCTTCCAGTGAGCTGTGGCTCAGCAATTAATTGATCTAACGGTTAGGTTTTCTCACCAAGAAAGCTAGCTAACTCACTCATTCCCCCCATTTTTTGCAGTCATTTTGTATGTTTGTCTATTGCATTCCCTAAGGCCATCTAGAACCTCAAGTGAATGAAACTGAATTCAAATTGTCCTTCTACATACTCCTGCAGGGCTACGATTAGAAATAATTCAAAATTATGGCTGTGAAACAGCAGTTAAAATTCCAGTGCAGTTTTATATGAGCTGGTATGTTCCACTTTTTTTGGTTTAATGTTTCATTGAACTATTTAGAAAACTATAGTCTTCTTTCTATTGATGAATCTGCATTGGAAATATAAATCAGCAAACTACCATTGAAGCTTTTTTTGCAGAAATAATTCATACATGTACCAATATTTCTACTGAACACATTACAGCAGAAATGAGGTCATATCAGTCACATTTTTCAGTCATTCAGTGGGATTTGAGGAATTTTTGAAACCATTGATATAGAGGTATTCCAGTTTGGGAACAGTTATGTAAAGAAGTTTGATTGCCTTTAAATTTCCTTCTTTAGGTATAGATGTGGTATTGAATAGAAGAAACCAACATAATATTTTTTAGCAGTGTCACAAGTAATTTTTGTAATTTGGACCAATGAAAATACGTGGCCATCTCTGTTTTATTATTTTAAAAAGTGGTTTAAAATACCACATTTTATGTATCTGCATTTTTGTGGTTTATAGTGACAAACTGCCAATTGTAAAGATGACAACTTACCTCCAAAAGTGTTTATTAAAAAAAAATCCTAAAAGGGCAAAAGAATAGAGAGGAATGAGAATTAATACAGGTTAGGTACTGCCCACTGCCAGGCTGTCTGAAAACAGAAGAGACAAGGTGGTGACTGCTCCTTTTGATGACTACACTGTGAATGAGAATCTGATTTTAAGGGAAAGCAGAGGAGAACATGCTTTATTCTTTATACTGAGGAATACTAATATAAACGTTATGTCAGAAATGTGAACATTAACAGAAAACAGTATTTGCTGCTTTACAAATAGCCTTTATTTAGAATATCATGGATGGTATTCAAAATAAGATGTTATGTTTATACTCTATGGAATTTCACTATGTGGTTAAGTGTTTATTTTACTACGAAAATGTTATGCATTTTATGAAAGATGACTGGAAACCTGTTAAAATCTCACTGTCAGGTTCACTATACCTCTTACAAAAACCCTGGCCCTCTTGAGCATGGTAAGTAATGTGCCTGAGTAATTTCCTTTTCAGGATTTTGGAGCAGATAATTCTCAAAAATATAAAGGTGTGTCTTATTTCTTAACTTCATTTGCTGTCGACTCTAATACCTCCTTCCATTGGCCTAATGTGATCTTCTAAATCTCATGTAATAATCAGAAGTATTCTAGGTAATAAAAAATAAATAGGTTTCTGTGCCAATTATCTAGCCATTGAACTATAAACACTCCATAGTAAAGTTCTGATAAAACAATAAATAAGCTGTCAGTCAGTATGAAATGGCAATCCCTGTTAAAAGGAAGTCTGTAGTTGATGGAATTGTTATACTGGTTATAACTGTTACACTTCAGTAGAAAAATACCTGAAAATAAGGATAATGTTGATCTTGTGTCTCTGTACTTAGTAGCCCTTTATAAGCACTTTGTGTGTTTTCACTGTATTTGAAAATCTTTTTTTATTTTGAAAGTGATTTCTGTTGTGGACTGTGCAAATGTTTACTTGCTTAAGGTATGTTTATATTTGTGTGTAATGATTAAGCAACATTTATTTGTATTGTTACCTTATAATAGCTTTTATAATATTTTTATTTCTGTTTGCAGGGGATTCACTGTAAAAGCAAACCTTCCAGTGAGTATACGTCATTCACTTTTTCCTACATTTAGTATTGAACAAATTAAAAAAAAAATATTGCAGATAATGAATCTACTTTCCTGGCCCTAACACTGTGTCATTTGACATGGTATTTACCACCAGTTTCCCCATAAAAAACATTGGAAATTGGTAGACTGTAGTAAATAATAGCTTAATAGTGATTGTGCACTTTTGCTTTGCAATTTTCCTTACTATAGATGATCACTGGGGGAAATTCCTTAGTCATTTCACTCACATGTTTTTATTACATCCATTATTATTAGCTACAGGAATAATATAGGCTGTTGACTTATCTGAAGCCTTCAGCAATCATACCTCCAGTGCACACAGTTACTTGATAAGGAAGGACTGGGCAGTTGTCAAGGCATATGCTACTCAGATAGTCCCCCCTGAGACAATAGCTCTAGTTGGAGGTTCAGCTCTGCATGCTGCTTTTCTCCATAGCACCTTTCCTGGATCCATGTGTTAAACAGTCCACAGAAAGGGAGAAGAGATGGCGCAGGATTGCAAGTGGGTGAGATTCTGGTGTTATAGCACGGGGCAGTGAGCTGAGTGTCAAGTGTTGTGAATCTGCTCTGAAAGCATGACATTTATAGAGCTCACATAGCTTTGGAAGGGATGGAGTTAACACTTGAAAAAGCCTGTAGCCTTCTGCTGACCAGCAAAGTGATCCATCAGTGGCTGGTTAAAGGATTGTGAATGAGCCTTATTTGGATGAGGCAGTTGAGGTGCTAGTTACACAATGTGGAAGGAGTCATAGAAGAGGAGAGAAAAGTGGGTATTGACCTTCCCTCTGCTTGGCTGAAGTATGCCTTAGTTTCTTTTGGGCAACACAGGCAGAAGAAACTCTTCAGCCCTGGTCTCAAAGGGAAGCACGCTTGCAACACTTGGTTATGAGTTAAAATCTGTGCTAAGTATTACACAAATACAGACCTAGACGGTGGAGACTGTTGCCACAGGTACCACCAAGTGATGATTCATCCCACCCATCTTAAGATGAAGCGAATTTCCCTCTGGGAGGGAAGGAAGGGGGTACTCCCTCTCCATTGACTGCAAAAGGTGCCTTGGTGATGCGCATAAGCCTAAACTAGATAAAGTTTAACTCTAAGCTGGATATAGACTTTGGGCACTGAAGAGTGTGTAAACTAAAGATCCCTGTCTTGCAACGTGGTGTCATGAAGCACAGCTGGCTTTAGGTTTTCAGTGCTACCTGACAATGACTTATCAACTACCTTTAATACAAGTAACATGTAGGATGACTCAGCTTTACAGCAGTGATGAAAAAACATTTTTTTAGACTTCATCCTGCCTGATTCACTTGTGCAACAGTGGGTGTATGCTTATTTCCATATTTCCCTTTCCATAGTCATGCTTTTTATTATTTGAGGTAAAATTACCTCAAAAGACCTTAACTGTATAATGGAGCACTTTTGCAGTAGTCATTGTTTTCAGCTGCAACAAAAGGATGACTGTATTCCCTACAGCTACCTTCCCTATTTCCTCAGCTATCAGTTCAGTAGTATTTGGCAATACAGCTTTGGCCCTGCCTCCTCCCTCCAATTCCCCAAAACAATTAGTAGGACATAAGGCCTACAGAGTATTTGTAATGAATTCACTGTACTCTATTATGACCTTCTGATTTAAAAAAAATAAAAATCCTACAGTCTCAGAAAGGACATTTGGCATAGTATAACACCATGCCATTCATTATCATTCAAAGTTCAAAATCCTTTCTGAAGGTACAACAGTGAAATCCTTTTGAATTTACTGTGCATTGAAATCTATTTTAAAGGTGACACTGTCAGCTTGAAATCTAATCAATTTCGTAATTGGTGTATTTTAAAGTAGCAAATTTTAGTATTTATTAAAATAAGTGTAACATGCAGTTATCTTAGGAAAGTGTATCTATTTTGTTTATGAAGTTTGCTGAATCATCATAATACACAGATGCAGAAGATACTATGATAAATCATATGCAAAATAGCTTCTAAATGCTACTGTAATTTATACCGATGGAATGATGCCCTAGTGAAGCAATTTAGTGTGCTGTAGATACAATCGCAGATTTAGCACTGTCAGTATTCAAAGTAGTTCAGATTCTTACAATTCTTTTAGGGAAGGAATACCAGGAAAAAAAAAACCAACAGTGTTTCTATTGGGTGTTGGCCTGGGCCTGTTATTAATGGATTTTCTCTGTAATTTTTTTGTTGTTCTCCAATTTCATCTTCTTGCCTGAGGCTCCAAATTATTCATGTAATCATTTCCATTGCGTATTCATTGCTCAGCTCTAGCTTCTATTATCTAAGTATACTTAAGGTGTATTTTGCTGTCATGACAGTTCTAGGTTGATTGCTGCATCATCAGATAAAAAATAATCTGCTGTGGTTGAGCTGATGGCAAAAGTACAAGGAAAGTGTCTACATGCTGAATAATAAGTCTTGGCTTCTTTATGCCAGGGCTTATATGTGTCCATAAGTAAGGAATCTTTTATTACAGCAACAATCCCTCTCTCATGTAGAGCTAATTACAGTTACAATGTATAAACATAAAATCTAGCCAAGATTTACTCAGCAGATGATTTGTGTAGCAAGATGTACCTCTATGTCTTTTGGGGCGTATATCAAATTGCTTGTGAGAAAAGGAAAGAGGTATGTGTTCCAAAGGCAACTACGCAAGGGAGGGGGATTAAAAGATGATAAGGTAAAACTTTACTGAAGAATTAGTCAGAAATGAGTCTGTAATTTGTGATTACAGAAATTTCTGTGATGATTTATAGAAGGGAAATTATTTTCTGTTGTTTCTTCCTTGTATTATATATTTATCGTGATCCAAAGCTAATGCCCTTGTGCATGATATCCATTTAAATTATTATTAATGAGTTTTGCAGTCTTTTGCATTCCTCCAAGCGTATCATAGAATTAATTAAAAAAATATCCGAAGTGAAAGAGTCATTCCATTTTATCCAGTGTATTCCTTATCTGTTCTCAGGTGGAACATAGAAACCATGATCAAGGAAAGCAGTGTCCCTATTTAGGGATACACAGCAGCGCCTAGAACTGCGCTTGTGCATCTGCCTGATACTGATCCAATGTAAATAATGCACCTTGGTACGATTTATAATTCTCCTGAGATAGGCCCAAACCTATTACATTTAATATTACTATACCTCAGGCAGTAATAACGAGGACCAAATTCATCAGGTCAAATAATATGGTCAAATTCACCCAAAGAGAATACTTTCTGAAGCACTATAGCATTAATAATGCATATACATTGCATATATGCCACCAACATAAATTCATCAATGAATAACTGATTTTTGTGCAGGGGGTTCTGGGAAGTAGAAGGAGAAGAAATATGCCTAACTGATGAGATTTGGGGCCGTAAGACTCTCTTTTTCTATTACATTAGCCTGTAGAAGGCTGCTGTTCAAACCCATGTCCTGAGGCTTTAGTCATAACTAAATTGTCATTGGAAAATAAGATGGGACATAGTAGATGTGTTCTGTGCCTACCGTTTACAACTTGAAGAAGGCCTGGATAATATTTATTCTGTTCTCGTCACCCTGGTATAAAGGAGAAGGAAATTCATAGGTATGAGGGATTTTTCCATGACTAGGAAGGCAATGGTGCCCCCTTGTGTGAAAAGGATATTTTAACAGCAGCTGAGACCATCAGCCAATCTTTTCTAAAATTAAAATGCTATCTGTGAGAGAGCTCAAAACATACAGGTAGTGGTTTTGAAAAAAGCTTAAATGCACTACTAGTCTAGCTGTGATCTAGCAGAGCTACTTAAAACACTGTTAGTGTAGCTGTGTTCTGATAGTCATAATTATTGGAAGTGACTCCTTCCCAAAACCAGGAAATTTTCAAACCATGTCTATAACGTAATGTAGTCACTCACTGCGTTGCTAATGGAGCCAACCAAGTGTTTGCTCTGGTCATGTCTTGGGTAAAGCACTGGCCCTGCTAAAGTCAATATTGCCTTTCCTACTAATTTCAGTAGAGTTGAGACTTCACCTTTGGGGCTTCTGGTAGTATTAGTGCACTTCTTCAAAAACACCCAGTGCAAAGTGAGATTTCTCTATCTGTTCATTTTGCATTGGCAGGTGGTATTTTTAACAGCTTCTGCAATGATGCTCCTGCATCCTTATCCTCTATGGTAATGAAAAGCATGAAGATCGCAACAGTGATGAAATGTGTCCAAGGAACCCAGTGCTCTCTTCATTTAAGTGTTAAAGGAACGCTGAGTCTGGATGGTAGGAAGTAGATTTGCTACTGAATCATTTTTCTTCACTTTTTGTTTGTAGCTGTTCAGCCAAATTTTGGAACCTGTTGCAATGTTTGTGTCCAAGCAGTTTTCCTGTAATTATATCAGTAAGATTTCTTATGGAACCGTTTAACTAAAATCCGTGATAAAGCCCTGGTCTTACTCAAGGGAATGAGAAGTGACATAATGAATTCGGTACCACAGAAATGTTACTGCTGAAATACTAAACCTCACTTTTCCTCTACCAGTTCCCCAAGCATCCTGCTGCTTTTTTCTTTCTTGCTCTCTATCTTACACACACACACGCACATTTCATGTGCTCTGGTGACTCAAAGTGATATGAGTGACTGCCCTAAGAGAAGGAGAAACAGTCTTTCTGTCTGAAGTTATAATTCGGCACAAAAATAAAATGAAAGCACTTAAACTTTTTTGGTATAGTCTATTTTTAATAACATCCTGCCATTCATGTGCTTAGTGTGTTACCATTTAGGTATTTCCTGGTGTGCTTCGCTCTGAGTTAATGGGTTTAATCATTTGCATAAGAGTTTGCATAATTAAAGCTTTAAATTAGAGCAAACTATATTAAATCCTTCCTCCCACTCCCATGTGTGTACATATATAATGTGCTGTTTTTAATTAAAGAGATAAAATACATGTGCCTTTCACTTAGAAGGAAAACTTAGGATACGGTACGTTTTGTTTTAATTTAATTTTTGTTTTTGTTAAAGATGCTTAAATTAAACTTTCAAAATCTATTCCGAACTCATTTCAGAAAATATTCGTGGCCTGGAAATATGTTCTCTTTCGCTGGACACACAGCAATCTCAGTGCACAAATGTGAGGTTTGCTAGGAAAAAAAGCAAGATGCTTAATGGAAAGAAGGTAGATTCCTTTTTTTGATTGTTTATCATTTAAATGTTAATAAGCCTTTGGAGAAAAAAATATATTTTGCATCTCTTTTTCTTTATTCCTTTGCTGACTTTTTGGAAAACTGCAATGAAATGTATTCTTCAACAGTGTCAAATAAAAGCTGATGATAGCAAAATGACCTTTTGTAACCTGTAAACTTGGTCCTCCACCATTTTCATACTTCTTATCTTTTTGCAGGAGGAGCTGCCTCTGCAAAGTCTAATTTTCAAGTCAGACTTGTTAGCTTTCTTTTTCTGCCCACCAAATTGTGGGGAAGCTTTTGTACCTCCAGCTGCTAGGTAGAGCAATATTACAAAAACCTTTAAGTGCATACGTATGATTTAAGTTCAGACACAAAAATATTTGTGTGTCTGGCCCAATCATGTCAACAGAATTTATGCCTCTGGAAAAGAGCTAAGTGCTTAAATACTTGTGCACATCTGTCCTAAGCTCATGGCAACAATTACAGTGACAGAGTACTATTTTGTGCTAAACAGAACCCAGAAGTATTATTACAATTTACAACTGGAAAAGAAAAAGAGTCATCCTTGACCCACTGTTTAAAAAGAGATAATTTTTTGTTTCAGTTATAGATGGATAACTGTTATAAATCCCATACAAAATGGGCTACTACTTTTGCTTTATAAATGCTACATTGATTGCACATGCGAAACTGCATTTCAGTTTACACTTTGAATTGCTCATTAATTGGATGTCCCTGTGTGCAGTGCAGGGCTGGCAATGAACAATTGGTAACTTTAAGAATACGGTAAGTTTTATAGGCATGACTCAAAAAAAAAAATTATGGAGATTTTCTTAGTTTTAGTTCAGTGAGTAGAATGATGACATAAGATGGCTTTTGCTCTCTAAATATCTTGTACCAAATAGGAGTACACCCAGTGTGAAAAGTTATATGGAATGTAATAATTACTTGTATCAGTGAGGGAATGATCTGCTGTAATTGGACCTTTTGCCTCCTCGATTAACCTCTCCCTCACAAATTGTTACTAGATTGAATAAAATTGACAAAACGTTTAAACAGACATTTTTTCCTCTTCTGCAAGTGTTTGTGCTTGTAAAATACCTATAAACTGGAACTTTTGTTTGTATAGAAGACCATTTCTTTTTGAAGTTCAGTGAGCATTGGATACCTGTATCTCTATGGTTTTAGGATTATTTGGTAGCTTGTAGATATTTGGACTTCTGGGAGTGAAGAAGATAGCAGCCTCCTGATTAGAAGTAATGATACTCTTTGAAATAGTTTCATTAAATGCTGTCTGCTTCTTTTACATTCTTAATGCTACGATAAGTCCAATTGAGTAATGACTATTGCTTGCTTAACTGGGATAACCAGTAGTCTTCCTGTATTCTAGAAGTCACTCACAAACTTCATTTTACGTATGTTTTGAACAGGTACAGGTACAATTCAACTGCTTTGAAGTCAACGTAGCACAGCACATCTACGTGACTATGAAAACAGTACCAAATTACTGTGAAGTAAAATTGAGTCAGGAATACTATGTTGAAGGTAGGAAAACATATTTAAAGGGATATTTCAAAGAAAAAAAAAAAAGGAAGTGGAAGGCCAAATCTCCTTCTGGGATACATTGATCTAAATGAGGCTAGATCATGCATGCCTGGACCACTGTCTACCAGTTGAAAATCTATTTTATTCTACATTTTGATGATTTATTTTGTGCATACAAATGCCTAGCTTGCTTTAAAAAAACAGTGACTAGGGTCAACCTATACTATGTGTTTGTCCTAATTTGCCTTCCAGTGACTGGCACGTGCTCTCACTCTACCTGCAGTTCAGTCCTGTGCGCTCTCTGTGCGTAAGATGGTGCCTCTGCTGTCTTTTGGTAGTTAGGCCCTAGGTGGCTTCAGAAATGGCTGCAAGTGCTACATCCCTTTGAGGAAAGCTTAATAAGAAAGTATAGAGAAATTTATTTTTACTTTCAGTTACCTTGCTGTTCTATCACATGTTTTCATATAATTGGATAAGATAGCATTGTTCCATGTTTTTAAAGTAAAATGCCTACCATGTGTATATAAAAATAGATTCAGCTCTATTGTGCTACCAAGATATACTGTGGCTACTGCAAGCAATTCGCGGTGCAAAAAATGAAATGGGACCCCTTGTTCAGTCCAGTGCTTGTCCTGCCTTCCTCTCTGTACGGCCTGTGGGTTGGCTGCTCTCACGCACTGCCCTTGGTGCAGAATCATCCCTTACACGCAGTATCAGATGTATTATGGCTGTTACACGCCTTGATATAAGTAAAGCCTCTTTGTATTTAAAAAGCTTTTTGTCTTCATGATAAATTAGCTGATTCATGACTGAGGGAGAAATGTACTTTGTGAATACAGAGGGGAAAAATAAGGTTTTATAAAGCCCAATTGTAAGCTACTTTACATGGAAGAGTGAACAGAGGAAAACAGAGGAAAATATTGTCCTAGGGAAAAGAACTGTGTGGGGAAATGAAAGCAACATTCTAAAAACTGAATTAAGCAAAGAGAGGTGAAAACAGTAGGAAGCCATCTATGAACTATTTAGTGTTCTTCTCAAATCAAGCTTTAACTTTTGGGAGTACAAACATATTATTTTTTAAGGTGTGACCTGCCCTTTAATTCGGGCAAGCTGCCTGGGAAATAAATAGGATTTTTCTTATTAAGCCTATAGTGGAATCAGAATAGCAAAAATTCACAGTCGTTTATATCGGTTGAATGCGCCTGGTAAACTACTAGAGTGGCTTTCAAGGAAACAATAAATTAAATTATTATTATTATTATTCCTGAAATTATTATTAGGTCCTGGGTAAAGAAGTGTAGAGTTATAGCCTAGATTTTTGACTTATTTGAACTGCTGATGAGGTTTTACAGCAAAAACACTAAACTCGTGAGATAGGTTCCTTAATGCGAGTTACGACGTAATCAGTGTGTGTGGTAAGCGTACAAATTCTTTTCACTGTTTATCTAGAAGTGGCTGTAAATCTATCTTTAAAAAGAAGTGTATGAGACAGGTTTCCTGTTGGGAAGCTATTGGATAGTTTGGCAGTCTTAGTTACACAGGTATATAAATAAAGCTGCAGTGAAAAAAATTCTGGTTTCTGTTTTGCAGACTGCAGAAACAATGATGTGGGAAAATATATTCCAGCCTGTTTGGGTGAGCTGATTTTCTATACACATTAAAGATGTGACATATTTCTCATGGCCTATACAATAATATGTTTTCATAGCTGCATAAGCAGAAAAAACGATATACAACTGTTAATATATAACAACAGTTGACGATATACAACTACCGTTACTTGTAATTATCATATAGTTATAGGTTATGTCTTGATAAATTTAAGTGTTTCTTTGTACTGACTTGGAAATGTTAGATAGCAGACAAAGATATTGACACCCTATTTCATATTTAAACTTTTAAAAACAGGTTTCTGTTCTCTTCGTGCACTTTGGATTACTTGTTACAGATTTTGTCTATAGACAGACCTCACATTTAGATTGAAATTAGTTTGCCAAACAGCTGCCCTTAGTTTGGGATATACTTGTAAGTAAAAATAATATATCAAAAAACCTCCAAATATTGCTTTTGTCTAACTTAGTTACATATATTTCCTGAGTAATAAAATAGCAACCTGAAGATAATCAGCTTGTGTAGTAGTATCAGGGTTAATGCTTCAAATATCTGTACATGAATTACTTAAGATTTCGAATACTGAGACTGAGTTACCATCAGTAGGTGTCCTGCCACCTCAGTATTGACAGTGCTAATTTAAAAATGAATAACATTGACATTTATTCCCATGAAAATCATTGTATATCATAAAATAAGATTATATTCAGGAAGATCTAGATATTAAATAGGATTAATTCAAACGTCCTAGATAAGTATCTATAGGTGTTGAATTTAATCTTGATCAGGTTATGGAATACATTCTGAACATTAAATGAGAAATAATAAAGCAAGAAATATATGAAGTAATAAAGAGATGCAATAATTTCATGTTTGATTTTTCTTTTCTCAGGTGGAAAGTTAGATTATAACATAGACTGGGCAAGGAAAGTCATATCAGTGAATGTATCTAACTTTCTTCAAGATCAAGATTATTATGTTCGCTTATGTCACAAATGGTTTACCTGTGAAGATGTAGGGGCATTTGCTGTGGTGAGTTAAAGCTGGAAGCATTGCTTTGTGGAACTGAGTGGGGTGACTTGTAAGTAAAAATGCTCATTGAGAGCATATTTATAGGAATAGGCCTTCTATATCTTTATTTACCTTTATGAAAAGTTATTTACTGTCCTGGGCTCATGATCATCTTTTTCATTTCAGATAAAAGGGAAGGAATCTTTAAAATCAGTTTCTCTGAAATATTCTCAGCTACTCCCTTGTCTTTGCATTGAGGTAATACAGTCTGGGTTTGACATATACTGTGTTTCCAATTAAAGAAATTTTATCTGGGATTTGTGTCCTAAGCAAGGAAGAAAAATCTATACAGAAAGGCTCTAGACCTAAGTTTCTGACTAAGGCTTGTCTGACCTTATGATTGTATACACTGAGATTTTTTTTCTGAAAGAGAGATTAAAACAAGGAGATAAAAGGAAAATGGAGTACAATTTACATTAATTTGCCAAAAGGATTGTGAAAGGCTAATTTGACTGATATTTATGAGCAAGGAAAAGCCAGCATGTTTAATCAGACTGAATTTCAGCAGAGGATTTGCTATAGTAGCATATGGGAAACTAGCAGATGAATTAAGGAAGCTTAGGGTTGGAACAAGATTTGTAGGGTAGGTAAATAGCTAGCTGGATGGCTAATTCAACAGCTCTTGATGAATGGGGAAGTACTGATAGGAAAGTTATTTAAGGTCCAAACATAAAACGGTTCTTATACAATGCTTTCATCAGTGACATTCCCACAAGAAATGGGAGAGTGTTAATGGATTTTGCTCTCATTTTGAGAGGTGTAACCAAAATGGAAGAGAATCAGGACAATTGGAAGAGACTAGAGGTCTTTGTAGGTAAAATAACTAAAGGAGGATGAAGTGTAACAGTATCAAGCGCAAGCTTATGCGCTTGCAATAGTAGCTTGCACTAGTAGAAAGAATTCTTGCTATAAAATGTGAGTTCTCATTTGAAAATGACAGTGCATGAAAAAGGTCTGAGTGACAATTAGGTGAGATGATTCCCTTGCTAATAGGAAGTACAGGCAAGGCCTTCTCTGGGATACTGTAGACAATTCTTACATCCATAAAAATTGTAGAATAGATGTTTGAAGAATAGAGAGACTGTCTTAAAAAGATTAAAACCACTTGTTTTCATTAGCCTGGTAAAACACATACAAAAAGAAAATATGATTGTTGTCTAAATACACATCAGAAGGGTCATTTGTAGGGAGAAAGAACAGCTTTTTTTATAGCTAAATGCTGATCTTGCCGTAAGAGTGAAGGGGAATAAACTTCATTCCATGAATATATTCAGGATAACTACAGTAATTTTTCTGATAATCTGAGTAGTGAGATTTCAGAATATCTTTCAGAAAAAGGAATAAAAACTGATCAAACCAATTTAAAATGAGTTTTATAAGATGTGAAGATACTATGTGACCTAGTTTCTCAGGGAATTTTGTGATAGTATTCCCCGTGGGGATTAAGATACTTAAATGTAGATGTCCAGCTGTAGATATCTACATTTGAATTAGATGTTCCAAATTCTTATGGTCAGTGGACAGCTAGTTAATACAGTCAATGGAACCTATGAAGCTGCTCAGCAAACCAAATGTAGATGCTTATTTTGGGATGAGCTGAATAGCACTGTAGACTCCACTGGCTGCACTAACTAGAACTTCATGTGTCTAGGGCACCTTAATCAAATGCAGATGCGTACATTGTAGACACCTAAAATGAGGTATCTTAGATCTGAACCAGAAGCTCTCTTGCAAACCTAGCGGTTTTGTTTGACCTCCTACCATTCTGAAAGGTAGGAGGTCACTGAAATAATATTATTCCTCCCAGCATATATATGCTGAATTCCACAACATGATTAGTGCTGGGCAAATAAATGGGAATTGTGTTTAACAACTGTGAGTAACAGAAACATTTGCATGTGCATCTAAATAATTAGGGCATAGTACTAAGACATGCACAGGTATTTGAGGATCAAGTTTAAGTGTTAGTCATTAGATTTTAAGGATACATCCTTTACCATAAGAAAGGCCAGGGGATGTGATAGTATTAAGTAGCTGGTATGTATTGCATCATCCTTGGATGACTTCTGATACCCTTAGAAAATAATGAGAATGTAAAAAACCGAACAAAAATATTAACCTGGCAGTCTTTCTAAATGAAATTATGCAGAATATATGACTTAAATATTAGGAACATAGTACATAGGAACATAGAAAGGATCACCTGGTCCTTCAACTCCAAATCCCAAAATGAGGAACAATGCCATGAATGTCTGGGGCAAAACATTCTCTTAAAAATACTTCCCAAAGCTTTATAATAGGCATAGCATCTATATATTTGGTGAGAAGGTTATTTTGTCCCATTCTATCTGAAATGGTAAAGACTGGTGTATCTGAGAATCTCTAGCTAACGACGACTTTTTGGGTTGTAGGGTTGGTTGGCAATTCCAGATGCAAGGAGGACACAACTTTGCCCCTTTGAAAACGGCAAGTATCGTGTGGTTACCCCCAGAGTAGTTTCTAGCAGTTCCAGTAGTATGTTGCAATTTGATATGCATCTAAGATGAAAATCATACCTTGCAAAACTTTAAGGAAATTGTCATATTGTTTTGTTACACTGTGGATAGATGAAATAACTTTCCTTCAGATCAAATTGTTCACAAAGTTTATGACAATATAAATACTAAATAACTTGTCATTTCCCACGTTTTCTTAAATCACACACAAAACTGGCCAGAAGGAAGAAAAGCCACTGAAGTCAGCTTCGGAGTGATGATGTAAGAGGAGGGCTTTAAGGAGAGATTTGAAGGAGCTGGACACCCAGCTTGAAGGAGGGAACTGGCAGCTGAGAATGAACACAGCTGACTGCATATAAGAGTGATAAGAGGAAAGAGCAGAGTATGGGGTGTCTCCTTGAATTTCTTCACTCGGGAATCTCAAAAGGTCTTGGGCTTGTGCTGATGCAGAAGGGGGGGGGACAATTTTTACATTTCTCCTTCAGCATTACTCATAATAAGATAGTAGATAACCAGGCAATGCAAATCAGTGTGTCTCCTAATTCATTACAGTAGCTATCTCAACATTAAGGGCAAGAATAAGAAAGAAGTGAAGGTCAATAAACAGGAAACCAGTAATGAATGCAAGATTATTTTCAAATAGTTACTTGGAGTGCAGACCCCTTACTTAATGGGAAGTTTTTCACATAAAGTTTTCCAGCAAAGTCAGAGTTTGGTCAGAGGTGACAGCTGAAGATGAAATTGTCACATTATATAGTTTTTTACTGAAAGGTTTACCAAACAGATAGAAAAAAAGCTCAGTCTGAAAAAGTGTTTTATTTTGTTTAGCCCAACATAAGTACAACAATCTTTTTGTCCTAGACTGTGCCAAGAAGCCCATTAAGGGATATTAGTATTTGATTTTTAAAGAACCATGAGAGCAGTTATAAACACCAGCCTATAAGTTTATCCAAATTCCATTAAACTGCATAGACATTCAGGGTAATTCTTTCACATTCTTGCAGCACAAATATATTTCTGTTAAAATTGAAGCAGTCTCCTCTCTAATTTGCCCAGCCTTCATTTCTGATTTATTTTACTGTGGCAGAATGCAGTGTTTGTGACACTATCTTCCTTTTGTAGCAGTGGAGTGCAGTTTGACTAAATACAAAGGGAAAAGAATACTATTTATATAGTAGAGAGCATTTGTAGGAACACCCAAGCTATGCCTGTAGCTATGTCTATGTCCTGCTGCCAGATCTAGCCTCAAGGTCATATTCAAAGCAAAGCCTGTTAGCCATCTACAGTATGAACTCCTAATCTCTGTCCTTAGTAGCTGTTCAGCCTGAGGCTGGTTCTCATGGACACAGGTTGTCTTCTTCCAAGTTTTCTCTCATCTCTACCTCTTTCTTTCCTGTGCTTGGAAGGCACCTTGCTATGCTTCTCAAGCGCAGGAGGTTGGACTTGTGAATGCCACAGTTCCTTCTTTCCGCTTTCTGGTTCTTTACCTTACTGCGCTACTGCAGTCATTCTTCTCGCTGTCGCCCTCAAATGAGGACTAGCTCAGAAGGCCTTCAGGCTGCCCTCACACCTTTGCACAACCTGAGACACGTCTTAGCTGTGGATCAGAGAGGTAAGAAGCCCAGTGGTGACAGCTGAAGTGTAGGTTACAGAGCGTTACGTAGTGGGAGGAAGGGCAGTCTATGCGCTTTGGCACATGGCTTGACTCAATCCATTTAGGAAGTTCCAGTGGGCAAAAATGATTGGACCATTTGCTTATAGCTCTAATGAGAAAGTGAATATGAGAAATATCGGTTTAAAACCACACTTTTCATTTACTCAGTTATCCTCCTGCCAGTGATCTCAAGGAATTTTTTCCGTCTCTAGCACCCAGCTATTTAGAGTACAAAGCACTGTGGAGTTCCAGCTTTCAAGCCAAATTGTTCTATTTTTAAAATCTTTCTTTTTCTGAACTGACAGCTCTAAGCACTGGAGTATCTAAAGCAGACTGATTCTTTCCTGGCACATTTATTGCTGATGCAATAAATTTGGGATGATAGAATTAGTTCTGTGGCAGGAATTAACAGTTGTGTATCAGAAAGAAGCTCCTCTATGTAGTAACTCTCTTGTGTTAATTTAAGTAGGAAAAGAAAAAAAGGAAAGAAGAGCATTTACTGGTTACTAAACAATGCAATTATATGACACTGAGGATGAATGAGGAACATGAAGTAGGAGAAAAGAGTAAAAACATACTTTAAATGAGCGTCTTTATTTTGAAGCAGATAGATGAATACCACAAAGGAGTAAAACAGAAGCAAAGTCATTTATTAAGTCAGTGAGCAGGCCTGCAGACAAACCATTCTTAATTGTGGTGCTGTGCTCTAACTATTAGGATTATACTTACATCTACCTTATTACAGACTCCTATAACATTCAAAATGTAGCTGTGAAAACTCTGTTAGAACTGATGGGAACCAGGACTTTTTCAGTCAGAATAAATCTGCTCTACACATTAGCTGTATAGTACCTGCCCATTTGTTACAAACAGCAGTTGTAAAAAAGCGAATCAAAATTTCCACTTCACAGAAAGTGTCAGTGTTTTGATATATGTTCATTGGGACAGAAAGTTAAGATAGCACAAGGTTTTGCTGAATTAAGAGATCTGGAAGATTTATATTTGAAAATATCAAAAGGTTTTGTTTCAGGACATTTCCAAACGGAAGCTGTAAAAATTGGAATTGTTGTTTTGCTTGATGGGATTTGAATTTGGGCATCTTGCCTTTTCACTCTTTGGTGTAGGCTGCACTCCTTCACTTTGCTACGTTTTCGAGAGCCATGGGTATTGTTTGTTCACTCATCTTGAACATCCAAATGGGTTTTCAAGTTTTTCTCTCACAAGTATTTGCAAAAATTATGTTTGCAAAAACATATTTTCCTCCTACTTCTGACTATTACAGAAATGTAAAACTTTCCAAATCTCATATCTGGAAGTGTTGGCTGAAATATCATTTTGAACTTTTATGTTGGAAATTCTGCCATCCACCTTCAGCTAAATAGGGAATAAAGTCAATACAAAGTGACTAGTTTGGTCAATCACAATAAATAAGACAGCTCTGACATTGTAATTAATAATTAAAATAAATAATAATTAGTAAATAATAAATAAAATAATCTTGATATTTTTAATAGTGCCTATATAAGACATCCTAAAATATATGCAAATCTGACATTATGGTGTGCACAGTATACAGAGAAGATGTATTTAGCTGTTGTAGAAATAAAATTTATTGTGAGTTATTTTCACAGCTCTGTTTATTATATGAGTTCTTAGTATTCAGCTATAGGCTTCAGTTTATCTTCTTACATATATGCTGTATGTTAAATATATGTAAGTATGCAGAACACACATGGAGTCTGAGTCTCCATTATGATGACCTCTAGTCACTAAAGTATAGATTCATTCTAGTTTACCATATACAGTTATGTGAAGGTCCTTGGTTAGGAGTCCACCTGCACTGTACTCCCTCTGTAGTTCATGGGCAGAGATTACACTTCCAGGAGCCTGTGCAGCCAGCCCGCTTCACACCTGAGGCACCATTCCCTGGTAATGTCTATCTGGCATCATAATGGGAGACTGGTGGTACTAAGCAGTTAAGTACTTCAGCTAAATGCCAACACTTTGGTAGAATTAACCCAGGTTTTACATTGTTAGAACATGTGTGCAGTTCTGATTGGTGGAAATGACAAGGGAATGGAAAAGCAATACTTTTGGTTTTCAGCACATATATAGCAACAGAATTTATGAATGATTTTGATTCATTTTTAGACATCTTGAATAATTTTTCCACTCTTTGTACACAGATACGAAGGTGTTATGGGATGATATTGTTTATAATCCAGCCACACAAACCCTAGCTTGGAAGCCAGCCTGTCCTGTGTTTGTCACGGTTAACCTGTGCAGGTTAATGAAGTCTAACAACCACTGTGAAGATATACAAAACACTTCCAAAAATTCTCCTGAGAAAGTAAGAGCCATGCAGATTTTTTCAAACTGTGAGATTGAAGGCCGTGACTAAATCCAAAGCATAATGTGAACAGCTAGACTTAGGACTAAGCGTAGTTGCAAATTCCCCCCTCTTTTTCTCTGATGCTTAAAATTATTCATAATCACAATCTCTTCTTGTATAACAACCACATGCTTTATTCAGAGAGCTCAATATTGGCTGACTATTAGGGAATAAAAAGCGGACATGATTGTGAAGCTAGTAATGTTTACTAAATTCTTTGGGGTAGATAGGGTCTGCTTTTCATTTGTAGTAAAGGCATGATTCATCTGTCCTGTCTTTGCTGTCTAAAAGATAGGTGTCCAAGTCTCAGCTATTCATCCCCGATTCCCTTTAAAGCAAGTCAATGAAGCAGACCTATTCAGAGGACAACTCTTCTCATCTCAAGATGGACATATTAGACAGGTCAGAGGGATGTCTCTCTGAAAGTACCTGTTTCTCTTCACTGACTATGACAGGAGTCTATTGTGATTAGGTCAGATTTATATATTTAACGTTTAGGCTTCTGAAACATAAGTGAGATGAATCTAAATCTCTTTATATATTACTGGAGGTGTAATCTTAACTTGATAGGGTATGATTGTTTTTTACTCTTGTAAGATCTTTTTAAAGTGCCTTCTTGAACCTGGTTGAATATCTTGAAATTGTGGCTGTTGAAATACTGAGTGCCTCAGTTCTTCCTGCACTTACATTCTAAAACTGAAAAGGATAGTATATAGCGCAAACTGCTTCATCAGTCTGAAGTCTTGTGATATTGTGTACCCTGAATTTATGAGGTTGACTAGAATTCCTGCTTTCATCTTGAAAAGTAAGTTTCAGATTGTGCAGAGATTGTGCAGAGAAGCGAGTAAATTTGAGGTAAAAACTCAAAAGGCAAATAAAACCAAATACAAATTCTTAATTTTTGAAACTTTGAGTCTTATCCTGATGAGATGATTTGTGGGGATTGACTCAAGACTTTTCAATGCTTGGTCTTATAAACACTGAAGAAGAAACATTGAAAAGATTAGGAACTCCTGGCCAAGTGTTTAATGCTTACTCAGATTCACCATTTTCTGCCTAACTTTCAACAAAGCTTTGATCTTGCAAAAACAAATGTATTTAATTTGACACATGTGAGTGCTCCCTCTGGATTTCATCATCTGCTCACAACAAGCACAACTCACTGTTTGCAGGAAGAAGAAAAAGAGTAAAATGAGATTGGGCTGGTATTGGTCATATCTATGACCCATGGCACAATCTGATATTGGTTTAGTACCAGACAATGAGTGTTTTCCTCTATTTACCCATTGCTTTTAATGACTGAATATTAGTACTCAGGGACTGGATGAAATTTCCCCTTTTTCTAATTCTTCCTAAAAGACTTGATGCTTAATTTAGTCCATTTTTTGCACACAACTGTAATTATGAAGAACATCTCTATAGTGCTCTGGAGACCACTGAAGAGATTCCTGTTAGTGTCAACCTCCCCCACTAAATCCACATGGTGCTGCACGCTCTAATAATATGCACACGTACTGACTCAGGCCCAAAAGCTACAAAACTCTGCTCTCTCATTTGGGTGTCTTTCTCTGTCCACAACAGTGCTGTTTCCATATCTGAGCTGACTCCTATGGCACTGTCTCTTGTGACTCTCTTGTTCCTGCCATAGACAAGACAAAAGACATCCTTCAGGTTGTTCTCAAAAAAGTTACAGAAAAGAGGTGGTACTTTGGTCATAATGCTGTGTGTTGTGTGTAGGGTCCATTGCCCTCAGTCACTTGAGTAACAGTCACTTAGGTAATATCACTTATATTGATAATAATTGCTTATATTAGACAAGGCTTTTTATGTTGAAGCCTTTGGTGGTTTAAGTGGTTGTGGTTCATGAAAACAACATTCTATAGGTCAATTAAGTAATTGTCTAAAATTCAGTCTATTTTTAAGTTTTTTCTTGAATAGGGATACTGAAAATTGAGAATTTCCTACATTGAAGATGAAAGCCTCAGTTCAACAACACTTTTGAAAATATCTGTAACTGTTCTGCTGAGTCAGTGATGCATGGTAGATAAGGCCTCAGAACAAGAGGACTGTATAATCAGAATTATTTAAGCAAGTCACCGCAGAATCAATTGATTTAGCCATACGAGGTTGGAATGACAATCAAAAATGCTACTGTGTTATAGAAACAAGTGATTTATTCGGTAACTCAAGGTATACTTGAGTTATACTTACAGTTACTATTTTATGTGATTGACTCATTGAGATATTTATACAGTGAACAAAGCAGTTCTTTTCTCAGTAATCAAATCCAGAAAATTCTAGGTAATGAATTTTGTGAAACTACCTAATGAAACTGGCTAATACTGAGTGCTCTCTTTTCAAGCAGGTTAAATATTCTCGTGTGGACACTCACCCAAGGCTTTGCATGAAGGTAAAGTGATTTTCTTGTAAGTGATCTGTTTACTGCCTTTCTTTCTGTTAGCTATAAAAGAAGTAATTGCTGATATTCTTTAGCATTAACGTTTTGTTTCGTATCTCTAATGAAAGGAAGTAAGAATGAAGGAAATTTGAAAGAGTAAATTAAAAGGAGGTGCTTTGGAAGCGCAGGAGAAATGATATATGTGACACAAGTCAGATTGTGCCACCAGTTCTTTCTGCTTAAGAAAAGCAGAGAAAATGTTTTAGGTCATACACTGCAAACTCTAAAGCACGTGTTGAACTTAATGTGTAAAGTTTTCCACATTAAATATTTGATAATAAAAATGAATGATTGATGTGCTACACTTATTGGAGTACCTTTTATTGTTCTAGTTCACAAAAAATGCCACATAAAGTTAATCTAGGCATGTTATGGGTTTATTTTAGATTGCTTTTAAGTCAATGGAACTGCATGGTTCAGTAAAATTGTGCATGTGCATCAACGTCTGAAGAATTGGGGTTTAGTCCAGTCCAGTTTAAATCAGAGGTTAGAAGATACCACAGAGCATGAAAGCTGTGGATTTGCCTTCTGCCCTACTGGAATGCAGTGATCATCTCTAGTTGAACCTGCAGCCACAGATTCAAATTGAAAAATCAGTTTTCCTAACCGATTTCTCTGCTTTCAGTTTACAACCAAACTAGGCTCTTGGGTTAAATGTCCATTCGCTCATGGAAGATTCCCAGGTAAATAATTTTTTATTACATAATATTAAATTATGAAAGATACTTAAATCAGTTACTAGACATGAGCCTTCTCCATTAAAAAGCTTTGTCCATGGTAAAGTGTTCAAATCATTGTAGCTTGTAAATTATAGCAAAGAGATTTGACAGTTAGTTACTTCTGTAAGTCTCCAGTAGATCAAGTGCTTATCAGTATAAAAAGTAATTTGTTGAAATCAAGACAGTTACTTGCATGTTATTTACTGGCACTCAACTAATTAAAATGACTTTTATTTTAAGTATAGCAATTTTAAATATAATATATGGTCCTTGTACATCTAAAAATAAGTCTTTTTCCTTAAATATTAGCTTGGAAAATGAGAACTGCTGCAGTGGCAGAACAAGTACAAGTTTTCTTCACGTCCCGAACCAGAGCACAATTCTTAGTGCTTGTGTGTAACAGGACGCAGCTGGCCTCATGTGAATCTGTTGGGATGCGCCATTCAGTCTCTGTGGTTTGTATATATTATTTCTTAGACGTTGTAAGCCTTTTAAACATGTTTAAATGTATTCATTATTACTGCATTTATCGCTCTGCAGCCTGAATACATTAAAAAGCCCATGCATGTACATATTGGAACAATTACTGGAGCATATTTAAAGCATGTAGTTCTAATTCTGATCTCACTCTGAAGCAAGATATAAATAAGGATGTTGAAGTCAAATGAGTCACATCAAAGGAAGTGACTATTGAGTGGAACACCAATATTCTATTAACATCATTTTTGTGGTGTAGTATACGTATAGGGAATGTTACTGTTAACATTTTATATATGGGTCACTGATGCAGCAGACCTGGCACATCTTACGTCATGAAACGTAAGACTTAAAGCATAATTCCACAATTATCTTAAACCACTCTGAATCCCATGGCTGCCAAAACTAACTCGGCACACAAAAAGGTAAGTTTTCAGCCAAATTAGCTTTTTGATCCAACTGATTATGTGACTACACAGCTTCTTCTTCCAGCAAAAGTGGGGGGAGAGAGGGAAAAGCCTGTTTCAGGCAGTGCTACTCATGAAATGGGAGCCTCATTCCTCTTTTGCAACTAAGCCTGTATCTCATACATTTTCAGTGCAGCTCTGTGGCTTGCCCTTGCCCTTCAACCCTGCATGCCAGAGTTACCTTGTTGGCCTGACCTGTGATCTACTGAGAGGTACATCTGGAAAGTGGGGTCAAAGAGCAGAAGAGTGGCTATCGCATTGCTCTTCAAGTAGAATATTAGAAATATTAGAATAGGTTCTAGGAGTTACTAGGAGTGCCAGGCTGATAGGAATCCTTCCAGTTCAGCAGCCAGCTCCTCAGTAGCCATATGACTGCCCCCAAATATGTGCTCCTGTCACGTGCTCCATCTACCACATGTATGAGATGTCACACAATGGATATGGAGAAGTTGAGAAATCTCTGTGTTGTGATATCTGTGGTTATTCCTGCCTATGTCCATTGACTTTGCTGTGCTTTAGGAGGGCTCAGGGAAGACAGGAGCATGCTGGAGCTCTTCCACATGTACTCTTTTTAGGATACATTCCAGCTGTACTTCTTACTTTGCCACTGTTTGCAGGTATGAGCTGCAACTGTGTGATGTTTTTCCAGTACCTGCAATGCTTTCAGTCTGCAAGGTGCACATACCAGGGGGTAGGTGGCAAGCAGACAGCCATAAATCAGCACTTCTTAAATTTCAAGGGGTTGACAGTGAAAGCTGAATTCATTTTCTAATTTATCCTTTTAGGTTGTTATTACATCTCTGGCTCTGAGCTTAACAGAGAAGCTGTTAAAGCAGGGTTTCCCAACTCTGAGCTTACTTTGTTGTACGTGCTCAAGTGAACCATGCTAACTAGTACTGCAGGAGATTCCAGAGCTGAATAATCACTGAGAAAGAAGGCCTGGGAGAAAATAGCTCTCTTAACAAAGATCACAGAGGGCACTGGTGGCACTCGTAAGAATCTATCCTAATGGGGCAGGATATCCGGGGAAATGCTGTATTACTGGCAGAGATAGAGATCTGTATGGTAGAAGAGTTGTCAAACACTGTGTTCCGTGAACAGTGGTAACAGAGGCACTTCCTTTCAACTGGCTTTTTTCGGAATAAGATCTGTGCAATTTAGACCTTCTGGTTTTAGACGTTCCCTGTGTGAATAGGTAAGAAGGGTAATGGGAGAGCACGGAGAAGTCACAGCTAGGTTTTGTACTAGGTGTTCCATGAAGGGCACTGATGCATTTAGAAAACGCTCATTTTCTTCCCATTGGTACAAAACTGTTGTATCCTCTGCATGCTGTGACACAACGGGAGCCCACTTAAATTACATACAGTTCCTGTCCAACACCATGAGCAATATACACAAAGTTTTCATCATGACTTAACTGTGTGTTCCCAGAAACAGACGTTCTTTCTCTGCCTCGTAATCCCTATTCAGTAGTGTTGGAATAAGACCACATTAGCCTAGTTTACCCCAGATTTATGTAGGAGTTTTGCTGTATTAAGGAGAGCAGTGTTAGGATGCGTAGTTATTAGTGGAGTAACTAACATGTTCTTTTGAGGACAAACCATAAACAATCACATTTTTAAGGGGCAGAACAATCATTGAGGACAATTCTACCCTAAGGCTGGACTTGTTCTCAGTGTACAATGTGATGGAAAATCCACAAGAAATGCAAATGAATGCTCTTTCCTTCAAGTTCATGTACACCAGAGAAAAGATGTGAAGATGCTCAGTGGCTAACACGGGGCCAGCAGCCATGGGGGTGATGTCCTCCCTTATGATACTTGATAAAATGCTGGAACATCATCCCTCTTCCTGTGCTTCCCAAACTGTGCTTGGCAAAACTGCATCAGTTGCATATGGTCATTGAGACCCAGGGATAGCCTCTGAAAATAAATAACCTTCCATAATGAATACACTATATTTTCTGAGGCTGTGGACCATGTAGCGTTATTGACAAATGAACCAAAGAGCTGGAGAGAGACAATACATTTTACTGTCCCAGGGTATGGAAAATAATAGTTTTCTACTTTGTTTTCATTAGGGGGACTCTGTATCAATTACTATGTCACGGGAAATGTGTGAGTCAACAATTTGCATTCAGGTATGTGTCTTGATTTTTGCCAGATGCGCTGTACAAACTAAACAAGTCATCAAAAAAGAAAGAAAGAAAACCAGCAGGCACTCTTGCAGCTTCCTTCTCCTAGCCAAATCTGATTACTCTGTAAATGAATTTGGCAAAGAGCATTATTTATAGCTCGATGTGCTGCCACCACCTCTTGTTGAGATGATATTAATTAACACAGAAGTTGCTCTCCTGATCTTGCTGCTTTGTCAGTGGCAGATAAAGGGATACCAGCAGGAGACTGTTAATCTTGTCTTGATATGTTCCTTTGTAATAAAAAGTTAGTCAAAAGATCCAAGTGAATAGCAGATGAATGTTTCAAAAACTGACATTAACTGGAAAAGGTTAGGCATATAGTAAGCAGCACAGTAAGTACATAGTATGCTAGAATTAGCACTCTTGAAAGCAGAGCTGATCAAACTATTTTTGACATTTTTGCACACTGTTTGCGTAACTGAACTTTATTAGACAATTGTAATAGAAAATGAACATGAAGCTGATATGTTTGATCCTACTCTGGAGTTCAGTGCTCTCGACAGATTGTGGGACAACAAACTGCCAGCTAGAGCTGCCAGGCCCCAGCAGCTGCCCTGAAAGGCCCTTGCCAGCTTCACCTTTTGCTCCTCCGAAGAAAGGTGCAAGATGAAAGTGAGCTTGACAAGAGCCTTCTGGGCAATGGGAGGCATTTTTCTTTCCCCAGTAAAAAAATAGATTTGATGGCAAAATTGATATTTTCCTGCGTAAATAGTCTATTGTGTAAAGAAGACATTATCCGACAGAATACACTTCTGCACAACAAATTTCTGATTAACTTTATCCTTTTTAACCCTAGAAGTGATTAGACTTGCTAAAGGTACGCTAGACCACTAGTGCCATTTATTTAAAAACATTAAAAATGCAGTCAGCTGAGTAAACAAATAAGGCAGTGCTCATTTTGTCAAGGCAAATATTCAGTAATAGTGTGCAGGAAGGGAATAAGGCATAATTCTTTCTTTTACAAGGGCTGGAGGACAGATGTAGATTATTCAGTTCCACTACAGATCTGTGATATCCACTGTGGTAAGTACTAATGATAACAAAAGAAAAATTAGATCTTGTCTGTGTAGAAGAGAGCATCTTGATTGAAATGTATTTTTATTGGTAGACTGACAGAGGGGATTCATCTGATCACATATGGAGGCCTATATGTGAGCTTGATATGCTCAGCTTCCTTTATAGACAATGGACTCATATACCTAAAGTAGCTTTTAATTAGCTACTGCAAGGGCAGCTTGTATGGCTGGCTGTTTTCTCTGCTTCCTGGGTGAATTTTTCAGCCTTTGCCAAGGTCTGTGCCCCACACCTATATTTACCTTGCCGCGAGTACATGAGGTAACTGGTTAAAAACAATCCCTGGCAAGTAGGCGCACAGTGCTATCATTGCAGTGATTGCAGCACAGCCCTACTGTTAATTTTCCACCTCTGCAAATGGCACAGAAGTACTGTGAGGATGATTTCTATTATGATTTGAAATACATGCAGAGTAAACTGAGGCTTTTGGACTTCAGGTGAAGCACACAGCAGGGGTGGATTGATTAGCTTAAAACTAAGAAGTCTAAAAGCAGGAAAGCTGAGGGAAGGCACAATCTGAGCATTGCCAAAAAAATCCCCCCACCCAAACAATCTCCCCTCCCCCAGTTCATTGTAAACATGCCCATTCCTAGGACAGATTTTCTTTGTACTTTAAAAATACCTCACAGTTAACTATAGCTCAAGCTTTGAAAGCCCAATACTGAAAAAGAAGGGGCCTGAATTTGTAGTGTACTTGCAGTTCTCTGAGCAAGCGTCTTCATAATGGTAGTTCGGGTTTCCTATCTACTTAAAAACTCTTAACGAGCCCACTTAAGGTGAATCAGTTAAATACTCTGAGTGTTGTGAGTCATGTAGTCTGGATGTATTTGCCTTATTCATGTTTTCCATTCAACAAATGTGAAGGATATGACAAGTGCATAAAATAACGAAATGTTCTAGAGATGGCAATTTGGGAATCCCCCTCTGCCTAATAGTAGGAGTGAATGAGTCTGTACAGTAAATGAAAATCGTGAACGCTCAAACCTGAGTAAAGAACTTTTTGGGTGCGGTATTTGATTAAAATGTGGAACTTGTCACAGGTTTTTGTTCTGGTGAAATACGGAGATTCAGGAAAAAAAAAGAGAAACTGTGCATATCAAGAGCATCATAATTGTAATATGTGATCACTGTTTGTTCTATGAAGCCTTTTAGCCTCATGGTTTATGGCTTCTGCCCAACTGTATGTTTTTTGGATAATGCAATCCACATAAATGAGTGGATGATTCGCCCTCTGCCTGCTGGTGAGGAGGGGGTTTTTGAAGCTTCCCTCTGTAGCTGCTGGTACTGGTCAGTGTCAAAGGTAAAGCACTGGATTAGGGGGTCCGGGTCATTGCTGTAATTCCTGTGTTCTTAATGACTCATTAGGGGCCATCAACCACTTGTTTCATGATGTATAAGATTTTGAATGTAACAGTAATAGCATTACTACTAAAGAGTTTCTTATTCTCAAATTCTTTTTTTCTATAACAAAAGACATTTTTCAAACATGAGCTTTTCAGAGTCAAGAGATAATGAAAGTTACTTAAAGGCCGTATCACTTAGAGTGATAATTCTTATACTGGGATATTATTATGATTATCCTTGAACATAAAATGTTAACAAATACGATCAACATGGGGTGAAGGGAATGTTAAATGTACGACTCATCCATGATTTCTGACAAATTGGATTATACAAAATGTCACAGTAAATGAGCACTAATCCTGTAATGGCGTAGTGAAAATATTTATTGCATATGTCTTTGTGAAACAGAAATTTTCATTGTTAAATATTACTGTTATTAAAAATATCATACAGCGGCAGTTTGCCCAAAAGAGCGGTAGTATGATTAACATGTATTTTATTCCTCAAAACCAGGATCCCAGAGATGACAGTATCTTTTATAAAAATCAGTGTAGCTAACCATCATGAAGCCTATTCTCTTTCCAAATGGAACAAAGGTTTTCTAGCATGTATAATGAATTATACTGTAATTCATTGTATTTTTCTAACGGTAGCTAGCTGTGCTTTGGAATCAGAATGACTTAACCTTATTTGCTCTAGAGAGGATGGAAATGAGAAAATCCTTGTTGTGTTTAATGTAGATACTCTGTAAAGAGTGTTCTTTTTAAATTTTATTTTTCCTTTGGCCAGTTTTCTAGATTCCGTGTAACGGAAGCAAACATTTTGAGGCATTATTTCAACTTTAAAAAAAAAGAAATGTATCTATTCTTAATGAACGAATAACTGGAATCAGTTAATATGAAAATAAATATATGAACCATAATGAAAAAGATGGCAACCTACATTTGAACTTGTTTCTTCAGGTTTTCACAGACAGACATACAGTGATGGAAGTCCAGCAAAGGCCATGATACACAGGTATCCAGCCACTCTCTTCAATATACAGTTAAAAGGTGTTCAGGAGTTGATAGAGTTGTTAATCCTGGAAATATATCATGACTCTCTCTAAAGAGGGGCAATATCTGAGTGAAATTAGCACGAGAATATCAGGTTCCTGTCTCTCTGCATTCCTTGTCCCCCTTGAAACCACCTCTTCCTTCTGTGCTCTTCCTCTTTCCGTATCGTACTGCAATGCAGTCTGGCATCAGAGGTAGTTGGACCTCTTTGCTGCAGAAGAAAGAGGATAAAGGAAGACAAACAACCAAAGGAAGTGAGAAGGTAGTGAAAGAACCTTCAAGAACCTGGGAACAATCTCAGCTTTGCTGAGCATGACATTCATATTATTAGCATCTACCTTGTGCTTCCTCTGTGGCATTTACAGGGAGATCTCAGTCCCCTCTGCCCTCTCACTCATTGGAGAAGTCTCCTCAGCTGTTCCAGTGCTTCCTTTCATTCTCATAGCCGTCTGCAAAACAGCAGTACTTAGGCTGTAAACAGATGAGATGGGCTACAGTAATTAGTGCAACAAACGGATATATGATTTGGTGGGACCCTGTGCTCTTCAAAGAGCTCTTCCTTTAAGGGCACCCCGTCAGAGGCAACCTGGAACACTGGCTATTTTACAGCATATGGTGTGATTTGTCATGTCCATCTCACGCCATGTGACACTAGTGGAGAAGATGTTGCACCTGAAATTTGCTCCAGAGAGAGCAGAGATACTCTGAGAAGCCCTTCTCCAAAGATGGGATAAAAAAATGCAGCCTTGAAGAAATCATGCACAGGTTTCCCACCTTTGGTTGGGAAAGTTGAGAAGGTGCTTCCATCTTTGATTTGAGGCAGTCCTTGCCTGTTTCCCTTGTCAGAAGATACCATTCAGGATGAGGTATGTTGTTTTTGTTCATTTGTTGATGTCTGTATTGCTTGGACTGCAACAGTTGAGTCCGAAAGCTGTACATAAATGATTAGATTTGTTATTAATCCCAACCATATATGAACGCAATGAACTCTTTTTCCACTTGAGAAAAAAGCCAATCCTCTCTCATTTTCTGTAGAATGAAGAGTGTGCATTCCTTGCCCTGAAGATGGATACAGGTGAATTTACCAAAACATTTTCAAGGTCCTTAGTATCTCTTCAACATCAAGTTGTCCTTTGGTGTGACTTACAAAGCCTGTGTAAGTGGTCTTCTCTCATGTTAACAGTTTCTGCTAACTACTGTGGGATTATTCTCATGAGTGAAAAATTTAGCAAGTTAAGCCTATTTTAACACCTTCAGCAGAAGCTGGATTATGATTCCTCATTTCCCAGTATTTCAAAAACAAGACATGCCTTAGATCATGTAGCTAGAGGATCAGGTTTGCATTTCCCTTCTAAATTAATGTTTTATATATAATGTGCTATAAATGGGCACTTTCCTAGTACCTTGTGTATCTACAGAATGACAATTTCAGATTTTCTTATTTGTAACCTTCCTTTTTAAAACATAAGCAAAAGTTGTTGGGGAATAAAGAACAGAGGAAAATTTTTTTCAGCTTTGTTACGTTATCCTACTTTGTAATTTCCTTTGTTTTCTCGTGCCGTTCTGATGACCTCACTGTGAGAGACTGTTATTCCTGAAATCTATCTAACAACTGCCTTTTGTGTTGTTTGCATTTGTATTTGACTTGGAAATAACCTTCCTATTTGTCTGAGGAGGAACATGTCTTTGGTCTGATAGCTACTTAAATCTGTCATGTGGAAATTCAGCCTAGAAGGAAAGTGTTTAATGGAAAGAATTTAATTTTTTTTGTTAGTATTTATACTCAACAATTGAGGACAATATTACACACTGTACTGATTATCAAGCATTTGGCCTTTATTTCACTGAATGCCCCTTTCAACCATCCCTACTTCCTGTTGTGTAACAAGAAAATAAAGTCAACTAAAAGATGAATAATGACAAATCCTGAAACCATGTGGAATTGCTCATGTGGGATCAAGGAGGGGAGTGAAGATCTGGAACAAGAAGCTGATCAATAAAAAATTGTTTCCATCTGAATGTGTTTTTTATTTTAAGATTTTCAAAGAGCAATTTACAAAAGAAAACTATGGTGTAAAAGACATATCTGCAGTGCTGAAAACTTGTTTTTTGAGAGGCCCTGCAGAGGAGAAATGCTGCCTGGCTCCTTTGATATTAAAGCTTCTATGTGTGACATGCATATATGTTAGATATATCCCTATTCCATTTAGTGCTACAGCTCCAAAAACTGAGGTGGCCAGGTAGCCTTCTTAAACCATTTAGTTATTTGAAAGTGGAGAACTTTGGTTGTGAAACAGAAGATCTACTCAGACATCTGCTTTTCTTTTAATTTTCTCCAGAATGCAGCCAGAAACAAGACAATCAGCTGAGAGAGCATCGTAACATTATTCTCTTCAGCATTCTCCAGTGGAAAAGCCTTTTATGTAGGAAGGGTTGATTTGTATGGTGTGCCTCTTTTGGCAGTGAAATCTTAAGAAGATCAATTTTTTGACTCTGTCCACGGACCGAAAATATATTGTGAATTATATATGTGTGGCAGGATCTGAACAAAGCACCACCTCCAATGACAAGTTCATAGAAGGTCCTGAAGCAACAGAACCTGTAGGGAAGGTTGCTGGATGCTTTCGGTGATAAGATCCTGTTTCAGCTGCACAGACGCAAATCTATTCGAGTGCATCTAGTTTGCTTATTGGCGGCAACAACAGAAATACCAAAAATGAGTGAGATCGATGGTCCTGATCACCTTGGTGCTGTTCTACAGGGAAGCCTGCATCGTGAGCTTAGCAGACATGTCACTTAAGTTAACTGTCTGAAAGTTAAGTGTTCATTCAAAGGTAGCTGTCTAGGCAATGTTTGCAAACAATTCCTAACAGAATTTCCATACTTCTGCCTGTTTGCATTTGTATAGTGAGGAAATTGCTGGTAGTTTTCCAGTTAACTCCCAACCTGATCCTTAGAGTCCTATTTATAACATACTAATATATATAACAAAACATATATATATATATAATATAAATATATATAACTATAATATTCAGGTAAGCACTGCCTCTTCTGATCACAAACTTCCTGCTCCATCTGACAGTTGCTCTTCCTGCTCTTTCAAACAGTGATTGAACTACCCTATAGATCTGATGCCCTGCAAGGAGTTCCATTCAGATGGTGCCTTCTCTAGAAGAATTAGGATTTTGCATTACTAAGCTGCCAGGCACTTGTGTCCTTTAACATTACAGATGCAAAAAAAAAGTTTTTTTTTCTTTTTCAGAAGGCATTTTAAACATTGGTAGTTCAAGTCACAAGCCTGAAAGGAGCAGGCACGAGAACCTTTTTCATTTCTAAAAGTATTCATTTGACTTTGCCGACCACTGAAATGTTTTCTTTTTTCTTACCCAAACTATGCAATAGTTTTACAATACTGACCAAACCACACGTAAACATGGTGTAATAACAGCCAAATCCCCTATGTGATTGCCTATAGACTTGGCTAATCCTGCAGTGTCTTCATTTCTTTTGTTGATTGAAATTCCCTTCTTACTGATTGTGGACCCAGCTTGAATGCCCTGTTCTGAGACAACTCACAGTTATTTGGTTTCCGTTTCATTTGGGCATGCTTACTATTATCACAGAGCATCAATGTTCCAGTTCTTCCAAGATATTAGCATATACCAGGATGTCACTGAGGTATAACAAAAGGGCTGATGGATGCTTTGTAATCTTTTCAAAAGACTTTCAGTTGTGTCCAGTGCATTGCAAAAACCTGAAAATATCATTTTAAGTTACGGCATTAATTAAAGCTGTTTTCCTTCACTTATTTAGGCATTTATTTGCACTTGCCACACCGTGCTGGGTCTGGTGTGGTAAAGCAGATTGATCCAGATGCAATATCTTTCATGTCTTTTATTTGTGGTAGTGGCTACATTTCCTTTAAAGCAAGTTATAGTTGAGAAGCATGCTTGAATTGCAACATCCTAATGAGTAACTGTATATTCACTGAGCCATAGTAACAGCTACAGCAGATCCAATCTGGTGCTCTGCAGGCTATGTGTACCTGACCCATCTCCTTTCTGGCCTTCTGATAAACTGCTTCAGAGAAATAAATAGGCAGATAAATAATGGCTACTTTTGTAGGGTTTGTTTTCTGCTGATTTCACTCTTTGAACTGCAAGGTCAGGCATATGCCAGCCAGCACAAGTGAAGCAGCCTCAGTATGGGGGAATGGAAGAGGGCTGCTCCTGTTAGCTCCCTGCATAGCAGGTTGACCGAACTGTAATGTAACATGACAACCTGATCACGTACCTGTTCTTAGCAAACAGAAGAAAATATATTTGCTTCAACTAACTGCAGAAAGTTTCAGTGAGCAAGTCCCTCCTTGCTTTTATACCAGGTAAGCACACAGAAACACCCTATTTCCAGCTAACCTTAAAAAAATGGAGACTTGGTACTATATCGCATATCTCTACTAACTTTTCTATTGCACACAGAAATCTCTTCTGGACTGAGATGACAACTTCTCCCTCTTATTCAGGCAGCCCTTTAGAGCAGACATGTAATGTGGCTGTGTTCAGTGTGATGCTGGACTAAGGCCAGTAGCAATGGTGGGATTTATTACTCCCATCCCGCTTTCTGCTGCTCTGAGCCATTGCAGTCAGTATCATTGGTTCACATTTTGAAGAAATGTGCCCTTTTAATCTACTAGGTGCTACTTTTTTAAAACTTTAACTAAATGAACAAGGATCAGTTCCTATATTGGATTTACAAGAACTCTTGAAGTCCCCCACACAGAACATCAACCGTAAGACAGATCTCACCCACTCCCCATCTTACATTGGATCAAAAGACTCCATAGCACAGTAAAAACAGTAATTTACTGATATAGTAAAAACAGGGCAGCTTATCCATTGCAAACAAGATGATCATCCAGATCATATCTTTCAGCAGATGGAATTTGTAAGATACTTTTCCTGGCATTGACTACATACTTACTAACTAAAATGAAACCTAAACAATTTATTAGCCCATCCTGTTTTTCAGCTATATAAGTTCCTATCTGAAAGGTCCTGTTTTCAAAATCAGCTTGGGATGGGACCACGCTCCACATTGCTGCACTTGAGTGCAGTAAGATTTTGGATCTTTTCATCCTTTACTCAACATAATCAAAAAAAATCTTGCCTTTGAGCCAATGTCCACTATTCTCACATATTTCACAGCTTCTGGTACATGCTCAGTGGCTGAACTTCCTTTGCAGTGAGGTTCTCTGATGGGATGTGTCAGGAAGAAGAAAGGATAAAAGGCAAAAGAGGCTCAGAAATATGATGAGTAGATAGAAGATGGAGAGAACATCCTTTGAGCCATCTATGGGCACTGGTAGGTAGAAGCATTCAGTAGGCAACAGTGCATATGAAGCCTGCAGAACAAAGCCCATAACAGGTGAAGGATGAAACAGACCAGTAGAAGCAGAGGCAGGGATGAATGGAGGTGGGGCAGGGCAGATGGACTGGAGGAGACAAAGAGTGTGGGACAGGAGAAGGAAGGAGAAAGTGAAGCCAGCCAGTGAGGATAGTTCATCTTGCTAGCTCAGATCTACTTCTTGTTCAGGACCTCCAGGTAAAACGGGAACTTGAGTGGAGGTGAACCAAATCTGTACTGCTCTGCATCCAGCACATACACTGGCATTGCCTACTTGCTTCTCACCTTCATCCCTGCCCTCTGCTGTCCTGTCCCCTCCTTCATGGAGCACAACATCGTGGTGAGTGACAGGCAAATGCCCCAGAACATCCTCGTCTGACAGAGAGTCCTTTTCAGAGTGTGTGTGGGCTTCTTCCCCCACAGGGCTTCAAGATTTATGGGGTCCTCATCAAACTCTTATGCCTCAGCTCCTAAGAGCAGAGTATGAGTTAGAAGGGGACTGGAAACAGTCTGTTATATTTTTTTTTCTCCATCAATAATAACAGTCCTACCAGTGAGGAGAAAAGCGAGAAGGGTGTGACTCAAATGACTGCAGAAACACCGAGTTACACAAGAGCCATGTATTTTTAATAGTCTTTTTGTGACCATTTTCCCTCT